AATGGTTCATCTTTTCTCTTAGCTCCAATTTTTACGAGAATTTTTACGTAAAATGAAGAATTGAAATGTGCTGTCGTTGCGTTTTGTCCGTCCAGGTCCATCCGTCCGAGCGGTTCTAATCTACTTTTAGGGAATTCCCATAGAGTCCTGGAATGTTTGCCATAAGGTAGCGAGATAGCCTATACGCCTTGAAGGTGTGTCCGATGCCCATAAAATTTTGTTGTCTAAAGAGCGAGAGGGTGCGAATTAAAACAAATTAATTTCTACCAACCACACTCCTCCTCGACCACATATCGGTTATAATCCTCAAAGGAGGATTGCTGGAGGAGGATACTCTCAAAGGGCTATTCGGACGCCGGGAAAAAATATTTTATGGTGACGTCAAACCTTTAAAACCGAATATCTCGAAACAAAGGAATAATGAATCGCCTGGACGAGACATATTGCTGTGTAAACAATATCAATGTTTCAAATTATTCTGTTGGGTTCTTTACGTGTAAACACAAAGTGAGTATTGCGTTTCTAGTTGTATCCAAGTGGTTTGTTTTTTCTTGTGAAATATTATTTCCTAGAATTGTTACATGTAGGACAATTTATTGGTTATTGTTATGAATTTTGCTTTGTCAAAACATATAAGTGGCAGTTCAGTTTGCATTTATGGGCGATTTGATTACTTTTGTTAAAAGGTTGATATAATGTATTAGCGACAAGAATGCGTTTTAATGGGCCAAAACTGACTGATTTCCCTAGAAAAATGTTTTGAGAATGCCTCGTAAAAATGATACGTGACGCTAAGGAGGGATAAGGAACGTAGGCGGGATTGACTGTTGTTGTTGCTACGTGTCCGCTAATTGGATGAAGATTTTTGCAATTGTGTAAGAAGGGGGCCTTTTTTTCAATTTCGAGGCCTGGGTGTTGTTCGTTGAAAGCTTAGAAGACGCGCGTCTTGCGTTAAGTTTCGTGTTGTTTGTCAAGTAAAGTAAAGTTCATAACGGTTTAGTGAGGAAGTCAGCCGTGTTCGAGTGAAGGTTTTGAGAAGACGTGAAATTTGGGGGAAATAGTTTCATTGAAGTTATTCGTCGATTGTTTCGAACAGCCATCGTTTCCAGGGCGGACTGGCCCGTAGGTCATAATGACCCGTTGGAAATTTATAAGTATGTGCTGTATTTAGTTTCTTGCACTATTAATAAATTATTAACACGTTTCTCTCATTGGGGTTGATGTTAGGTTGTTCATTACAAAATTCTGTTTTTATTTAATTAATGAATTTATTATTTTTATTTTTATTTATTATTTTTTGTCGTATTTTGAAAGTGCTGAAACACAATTATAGGCGACGCGCCTCGTTTGGATTACCTTGTATTTGTTGTTACTTTTAATTATCAGCTGCAACTGCAAAAACTATATTCTAATTGATTTCGAGAAGGGAATACTTTAAAATGAAGCAAAAAATGTTTTTGTTGTGCACCGCAGAGCTCCCCCCCTCCCCCCCATCTTCATTACAGTAATACTTTAATGACCCGTAACCTATGCAATTCCACCTGGCCCGTAAGTACCCAGTCCGCCCCTGATCGTTTCATCGCTTTTGTGTTGGTTAGCCAATCAAATGTAATGCAGAAAAAATACGTTCCTTGGATCTCGAAGAGGAGAGACAAAAAGTGTAGTTCGCCAAGATTGTGAGTGCGTTAGTTCTTTATCGCAATTAGCGGTTGTTGCCCGGATTTTTGGAATTTAAACAGAAAAGTGTAAGTAGTGTAACATTGCATTAATTTGTTTAATTGTTGTCGGACCCTTATACGGGGTGTGTAAAATGGACTTTGGTATAGTCCATTTTGTTTGCTAGAATGTTGTGATTAATTTGATCTGTGTTTTTAGTTTTTAGTATAATTTTTGTCTGTGTTAATTCATGTAAATCGTGTGTTTATTCGAACCCTTTAACGATCCAGACGTCTGATGCATAATTATGATTAATTTTGTTGATCCGTACCCAAAGTTTATTTCAGATGTCTTCAAAATTTGTTTGAGTAATCATTTTGGAATTTAAGGAATTTGGTCGTGGTCATTATTTGCCGTAGAATTTTGAACTGGAAGTCGAGATTGAAATTTTTCCTTGTGCTGGGATTCTCCTGGGTAAATGTTAATAAGCGAGCTAGCTATGTTTAAGGTGTTTTGTGTATAGTTCATTTTGTCAGGGCAATCGCACACACCATTATTATTTGCTCGCCCAACGTGAGGCATTGCATTTATTTTTTATGAGGTCCAATGTTAAAAGGTCGCAATATCCATTGGTGAAGTCGAAGCGAATATCTTGAAAACAAAGTGCCGAAAGAGGGTACTCATAAAGGCCAAATGGAACGTCTGGACAAAACACATCTACTGGCGATATCAAAACTTTTAGTGCAAAGATCTACAGATCGGAATGTCCGAGGAGGGTACTCACAAAGAGCGGAAAGATCACTGGCAATTGGAAAACTTAATTGTGAATATGAAAAATGTTGGAGGAAAGTACCTAGAAAGAGAAAAACAACATTTCGGAGAATTTCTCTTAGGGCTTGATTCTTCTTGCATTATACAGTGCGTTTGAGATAAGAGGGTCACCTCAATATCTCTTTTATTTGGCGAGGTACGAAACATTTTTTTAAATATAATTTTATATGTGACATTATGATCTATCTGATCACATATTCAAACTTTTTAACGGACCGGAAATCGATGTAACCTTTGTTTTTCAAATGCAATGCCTATGTTTTTTTACGATATTTGAATAGAGCATTCAATTTTCTGTACGACAACATACAATGTGCATACCTATGGTTGATATATAAAAAATGGAGAAATTCGTGATTCAATCTTTAAAAAATGTATGAAATGTAGCATAAAATTCGGACTTGGAGGACGGAATAAAATGTAGTTCAGAACAGATAACAGTACTATTTCTATGAAAAAGACGGAAGCCAAGCTTGCAATTTTTGACGTCTTAAGTTCAGAATTTTCGTAAGTTTGATAAATATTTATGTTTTCTGATATAAAATAAAGTTTTGTATGATGCCCGACGATAAAAGGAAACTAACCATCTCAAAGACATCCTTTTATCGTCTTGTATAATACATAACTCTGTATTAGGTTCTTGATGTAAACTGAAAACGTTTTTAATTGTGAAAATCAATTGCCTAGTTTATGTTAAAATTGAAGGCCAATCCCGAGGTACAATTCCACCAAATTTAACGAGTTGAAGTCTGGGGGGGAAATGCTTGTTTCGGTCCCCTCTGCCACCTAATTTTATCAGTAGGTAGATCTACTGAAGTACTACACCTTCTATACATTTGTTACTGAGACGGGACAAATCCGCAGAAGGTGAAATTTCCGCAAGGGAGAAAATGCAGGGGGTTAGTCTTCCAAGTACAAATTTGGAGAGCAAATGTTCCGGAGACGGAGGGAGAGAATATTCGAGGACGAATGTTCCTGGAGGGAATTTATTTTACAAGAGACTCTTGTAGGCATAAATCTTCGGATGCTGATTTTGTTATAAAAGTAGAAGGGAGCACTAAGACTAAATAGACAGTTTCTTAGGGATCCAGCTTCTAAATGTAAATGTGGCAAGTTCCTGGTACATGTATGGGGCGGATGCAAATTTACCTGACGAATGTTCGGTAAATTTGTACCCTCTGCCCTGGAAAAATTCTTCTCCGCAGGACTACTTTCCCACCAAGAATGAACGAGGGAATGAATTTACCGGATCAAATTTTCATCGTATCACTCATTTCCGCGATTTTGCTATTTCCTCATACCTCCCGTATTACCTCTCTATAATATTAAGGGTATGTTTCGTCGTTTCCCATCGAAATTGGCGTCCAATGTCGTTTTTAATTAAATTTTAACTATAGATCGAATTTGTCGGACCTAAACAGAATGTTGAACTAAATCTCTGAAGATTCTGTAATCGAACTTGAATGTAAACAGCTGCTTGATGGAGAAATGTCGATAGGTAAAGATTTCATTTTAATTTTGAAACATAATCAACGAGTTGGAGATCAGGAATTCACGATCCACCTGACAATCTTTTAGTATCACATTACGTGCACCCATCGTAAATATAACAGCGTCAATGGCGTGTTTAGTTATGGGTGGATTTATAGAAAACGCACGTTTCACTTTAAATTATTCCGTTTGAATGACCTAAAAAAATGTGGCGGCACGCTAACCTCATATTTTCAAATTTCATCCTAAAGTTCAAGGGTGCGTGCCAGTTCAAATGAATTAATGTCTCTAACCCTATAGACAGTCCAACTTTTTTTGGAAGTATTTCAAATCCTTCTTGTGTACTGCATATAAAACGTCTGTGGAATCAAATGCATCTTCCAACATGCCACATGAAAAGAAGGCGATATGTGTGGAACAATATGTACAATGACACAATATAGTAAATGCCATCTTACATGTCGTACTTATAATGAAAGATAGCGTCATTCAACTGAGCAACTGAATATGAACGTCGCAACGCAAGTGTTCCATAAGAGACAAAAGCTAAAGGGCTTTTGTGACATCTTACAATAGGTTTAAAGACGCAATTCGATCAAGCGTGAAAAATGTTCGTTGTACACGTTGAATAATAAAAGTGGTTAATCTTGCAGGATGTGGTTTGAGACAATCTAAATAGAAAAAACTGTTGTTTTCGTTTAGTGCGTAGCATCTAAAATGCTGATAATGTATAAAAGAGTTGTATGTGATGTGATGGGCCAGACTTTGCAGAAAGCGATATAATGTATAAAAATAATTGCAGCATTAGTAGAGGTTCCATTCTAGTAGCACTAAGGACCCATGGAGACATGGGTGGACGAAAGACTTTTACCATAATACCTAGCATAGATGTGAATAACTGAGTGTCTCTGTAGCACCATTGTCCCCATTCGTTGGTGATATTACCACTTGTGGGTAATAATATGGTACCTATGAAACGTTTTATAATTGAAATATTCTTACATAGTAATTACTATGCGTTAATTGCGTTCATTATAACATTACATTGCTATCCATCATTACTTGAACGAGAACCTCATTAATCAAACCGTAATAGATAACTACACAGCCCAACAACGTTATGCTATTTGATGTATCCAATTCAAGACGATTCAATTGTCTTAACATCCAGAAGAATCTAAAATAATGTTAACTGTTAAAAGAACGCAACTCGTTAGACATACAGGGTCAGGTTATGTTTAACGAGCATCTGCCTTCAATGGTTGTCTTCCTTTATTTTTTACATTATGTATGGTTTGATTTTGTACTTCGAATTTTAAGGTCTTGATTGACGTCTGTCAGTGGAACAGATGGAAATAAATTTCCGTAACTAGATACTACTGCTAGAGCGTTCTATTTTTACATCGTGCCTGCAGGGAGGAAATTCTGCAAGCCTAGTTTACGAATACTACCTCCTGGCGGTTATGGTGGACTCTCTGATTTTTAGTAGGTGGGTACAGCCATTACGTTTCTCACTAAAATACAATTACAAACGCACAATATTTTGCTAGTAATTTTTATTTTTTTCTAAACTGCATGTCTAGGGTCGATTTCCAAAATATTGCGAGTGAACCCATAATATAAAAGGCATAAGTAAAAAACATAGAATACTATAAATACAATCAGTTCCTTTTCAGTTAATTCCATGATGTAATGAGGTGGTTGATTATGTTTTGAACTTTTCTATCTAAAAGAAATGATAATTAAAAGAAGAATATGAAAACGTTTAATACGCACCTGCTCGTTATTGTAGTACCAAATGCTTCGCCTTTCTTTTAATCCGCATTGTGTAATTTAGAATTTTCCACTGTCAGTCATAGTCATTATCCTGATGACAATAGGGAACTCGCGATTGTCAAATTTGATAAAGCAGAATTTTCCCACGGATTGTCTGACCCCTATACTCGTAATGTTGCCCGCGTTAAGTCAGATCCCCACCCTAATCTGACGTCGGTCGCCGACGGACCTGACTGTCAGAAACTTGAATTGAAGCCGGAAGAAATGGGTTCACGACAGTTTGAAAACTTTAAAAGAGAATATGTAAACTTGTGGACGATGAATGTGTTCCTAATTTAAATACCTACCTACAATATCCATTTGAACGTATTTTACGTATTGGAATTAAGCGCAGCGGTGGGCAAATCCATGGAACACCAATCAAAGCATGCGGCGCGGTATGGGTCCGAAAGTGACGTCACTACACCCGGCGAAAAAATCCGTTATCGATCAATCCTGTATTATATGTCATAATTTGCGCTTATTGTGACGTCATCACTAAGTATGTTTACATAGCTTCATGCAATCAATGGAAGAGAATACGTATGTAGGCGGCCATACAAGTGCTGCATTATGGGTAGGATACCCATTACATCAACGACTTGTATTGACCAATTACTAAAAAAAATTTTTGTAGTTATTTGTAACAGGTTGTCTGCGTCACGATTATTATTTGGACGTAAAGGAGAAATTTAAAAAAATCATTTCAATTGTTTTTTGAAATGATAAAAAATTTATAATTTGTGCGTAAGAAAAGACGAGAAGATTGATATATTACGCACACAACCAGACGATACCAGGGAAACCCTCTTCGGGACAAAAACCCTGACATAGTCCACACAAATACTCGAACTAAATTAACAAAGACAACAAAATCAAAAGAAAACCCACAATTGTGCATGAATAAAAATCAGGTCACGAATTTCAAGATTCTAAGAACGTCATCTTTTTTCCAAAAACATCAACGTGTATCCTTCCAGCTGGTTGTTGAACGTTGCAAGGGCGATAAACTTTCGCCTAACTTGTTCGTCGATCTTCCTGTTTTCATCCTGGTAAAAATCGAACCACAGCTTTTTTACCAAAGTGAAGACGCGTTGCTTTCGGATCTCTCCACGAATTTCAAAACATCGCAGGCGCCGTTCACCAGCCATTTTGTTGACTTCAAATCTTGAGGTTACTATCTGGAAAACGCAAAAAAACATGCGAATCATCTTCCAAATTAATTATTAATGGGACTAGGTCTTCTCGGCCAAACTTTACTTCTCCGTGCATCGAATCTAAAATAATGTTGTTGGTATGTTCTACACTGCGTTTCCAGATATCAGGTGTAACTGCATTAGTTTGTTGTCACATACCTAAACAATCTTCACAAAATTCCCCATATATTTTCGATGGGATTGAAAAGGCAATGGTAGGGAGACAACCGTAGTACCGCGTGTCCATTTTCTAATGCAATCTCATCAGCAGCATACCGTTTTGAAGGTTTGTATCTGAAATAACAAATTTATAGTCTCGAAACTAAAAGTTACTACGAATAAACTAAGCTGCAAGGTGCTAATATTTGTTTTTTCTTACTTTTTCTTGGTAAATCTGATGGCATATTTGGGTTATGCAATGTTGGGTGCAGAATATCCCAGTGAGATGTATAGTTATTGTTCGTTATGAAACTAACGGATTTTTTATCGTTTAATGTAGCAAAACGCGATAAAATAGGGAATGACAATGGAAGCAAACAGTTGTAAAATGTGACGTGTCGTAATGTAAACGTAAACTACCACAATTTTGATTAACAGGTAACCTGAAAACACTGAAACTGAAATGATTTTTTAAAATTTTGTTAATAATAATAATAATACGTTGGCATTACAATGCTCCCCAAAAACAGAATGGATGACGTGCGCGCAAACTAAGAAAAATCCTACTTTAGTTATTTTGTCCTCCAATATCCCACTACTACCGTTAATTAGTGAGTGACGTGACTGTGCTTAATTGTAATTTATAATTTGTTGTAACACGACAAATTCAACTGCAAATTTTAATTTGAATGGAGCACGCAGTAGAATTGCTATCAACTGATCTAAGCTACTGAACTATTTACACGAGATCTATACGATCAACGTCCGTGGTTTTAAGAAGTAAAGTAAACTAGCGTTTTCCTTTTTTACATTTTTGAGCGAAGAAATTGTTACATTATTTTTGTTTTGGACAACACGATAAAACTTTAATCAAAATCTACAGTTGGGTGTTTCCAAGAGTTCAAATTCTGACGTTCTTAGTGTATAGGAAATATGTGACAAAATTGCAACAAATTAATTAAATTTCAGTGACAATTCAACTCATGTATAAAAAATCGCATAAGCCGCAGTGCAATTGTCACTTTGACAGCGGCAAAAGTTACCTGCATCTTTTCCAGCGACAAATGCACTATAGACTTAGACCATATAGTACATGGACTGCTAATTGTAACTAAAATATGGTCAAGGACATCGCCTGGGTATGTGAGTTTCAGGGTAAACGAGTCTGATCGAAGTTGTCCGATTAGACACGATTTGAAACTGTCAACCTATAAATTAACAAACGTCAATTGATTAATCGCCTAGATATCCCAAAAAAAAGCAAACTTATTCTTATTTGTGGACGTATAGCAAATAATGAAGAGTATTTAAAGCTTCCCGTACTACGCGGGTAATATAAAGCTGCTCTTTACGCGATTCGAGTGGTGTTCATACGGCTTTAGTTTACCCTGAGATTCACATACCCACGACTACAGTGCCCTCTATCCGTGACCACCCATTTTGTATTGAAAGCATAGGGCGAATAGCAGTCCATGTACTATATGGTCTAAGACTATAGACCATTCGCACCTTAGTATGCAGTATGGGGCTTATGGAGAAACAGTACATGCTTGCCAAACTGATTATAGGATCGATTACTGCACCGTAAAACGGTAGTTTAGACACTCTTTATTACTTTTTAACCTAACCTCAGAAGTCAAAAAGGTAAATTAATAACAAGTTGTAATTGTTTGTCAAATGTGGCCGAGAACAGCTTGTATTTATTAAGTCCCCAAAAATTTACAAATGTACAGTATACATATTAGTCACTGGAATCGTGATTGACATAATGTTGCCAATTTTGAACCGTAACTTGTGAATAACCCATTTTTATTAATTCTTCCATGTCCTTTATTTTAAATGTTTTGTTATTCATTTTGATATGATGTTTAACTTGAGCCCACACCATTTCAATGGGATTTAATTCACAATGGTATGGAGGTAAACGGAGAATCTCATAACCTTTTTCTTGTGCAATAACATCAAGCTTATTTTTGTCGTAGTGATGCCGAACATGCGCAACAGAAGCCAGTAGGTCTCGTTTTAATGGATTTTCTTCAATCGGTACATTTTTCTCACGAAGCCAATCTATAATGTGTTCTTTTCTCCACGACATTGTTGGTATCTTCTCCAACTTTCTACTGTGGTACGAGGCATTGTCAATAACAATGACTGAATTCGGTGGCACATTTGGTAGAAGCTGTTCAAAAAACCACTTTTCATAAGTGTCTGCATCCATTTCGTTGTGTGCATCAGCAGTGTTCTTTTTGCAGAGAAAAGTCAGTTCCGCGCCCGGAATAAAACCATTATCACCACCAGCATGTACTAACGCAAAGCGAGGCCCTAGACCAGTGGGTGATTTTAAACCTGTACTGAGTCCTTTGATGAATGCCTGACGATTGCTTTCAACGGTGGTGTCATGCCACGCCCTGCTCACCGAATGACCAATGTTAACCCATGACTCATCCGTATACACAATATTTTTACCTAAAATATAAATATTATGTAATTTGCAATTAAATATAATAAAAAGATTAAGCACATTCTTCTCTCAACTTCCTGATGCGACGTAGGTATTTATGTCTCCATCGTATAATATCATCCCGTTCAATAAGGATACTCTTGCGGCCAACCTTCTTAAATTCAAAACCCATATCTTTCAAGAGATTGAATAATGTGGTGCGTTTAAAGTTGGGTAGATCGTTATCGTCATCAGCGGCGCCGGTCAGCGGCGCCGGAAGGGTAAGGCGACTAAGGCATCGAACTTAGGCCTCGCGCTTGATAGGCCTCGCACCGGTGTCTGAAATACCATTGAGAAGATGTAATGACATCCATAAATACCAGTAATAATTTAATAAAGTTTCACGACTGCCAGAAAATGTTTTTGTGTACATTGCAATTTGCAAGGTGAATGTTCTTTGCATTCGCTTAACACTTTCTGTTACAGCCACAGCGGAAGTTTGAATGACCCTTAGCATATCATAATTCATTGAATGAAAGAAAATTGCTGAAACGCCAGAAATTGCACCATTTAGTTCCTCTTTTTGTTTTCACACTCCCACTCAGTCGTCAGCTATATCAAGTTTCCTATATAATGTGGTCTTTATTTAAACAAATATTTTATGCCAATTTATATCATATTCGCATGGGGCGAGATTCAGCTCAAGTTAAACGCGCGTGCTGTAAAGAGATAAAGATATTTTTATACCTTACTACCAGTGTATAATGATCTTTGCTACCAGTAGACTAGTACGTACCTACCTACAAAGATTATACATTTGTGATTGTGATTATTTAATTAATATTGTTTTCAATTTTCCATTCGACGGATTTTACTTCATTTATTGACCAATTTCCCTACATTAATGTAAGTACTTTTAACTTTACCTACTTGTTTGTAGGTACCTAATTTGTAATAAGCGCTTAGTAACGTTCTTACTATCCTATTTTTATTACCTAATAGACACCCTCTTACATGGCAACGTGAAGTTGTGATGATATGAATGACTAATACTAATAACTAACAACACTATTATATAACTTTTATAATTATAATAATAATGTTTATTTGTGCTCATTGTGCAGCTATGGCTTTACACTAGTCAATAGGTATAGAAAAACGGGCATCTTATGACACATACGCATACCTAACATTATGCATAATTTCAGTTTACATCCACAAATTTACCTTTATGTTATCACATCTGTGTTTACCATATTTTCCCGAGAACTACCCTACCTAGCATAGGCCTCTTCGGCGCATTTTGCCTTAGGCCTCCTAAAGCCTAGCGGCGGCGCTGATCAAGATGTTCGGATGCAGAGCGCATTGGGATGTGAATATGCAATACAATAAGGCAATTTTAAATTTTCTAGAGCATCTTGAAGTTATAGATATTTTATCGTATATCTCAATCGGTATATTTCCGTTATAGTTTTATTTTTCTACGAAATATCTTGCGCTGGACACTGTACTAATATCTTCAGTAAATTACACAAGGAACGAAATCTTTTCTCACATGTGGAAAGTTGAGAACGAAAGCTATAACGTAATCTAACACTTGATGGGTGCGGATTTTCAGTTTATATAGGCGTTACAGAAATTCCATGTCCAACAACTTCTCTAACAAGGTATTGAAATTTATATAAGGTGGTTCGTCACTATTTGCAACCCTTAATTTAATTATTATTGATATCTTTCTTAATATTCGAATAACGAGACAAATACAGCAGGTGCCAATTAGGATTGCATTATGCCATTTCTCTGAGACTTGAATTTTTTCCTCACTGCAATTTTGTGGGCCGTGGCAACTGGCAAGAGCTTTAAAATGGTACCATACGTGTACACCGTCTACTTTCGGTTACTGATGTAAACTGGAAGTCGTGCAAGCGTAAAAATGTCATATACCGTTAAATTGGCGAAAGGTTTTGAATTTTCTTCGCCCTGTATACTAACAGAAAAAGGGTGCCACCAGCCTCTCTGACTTCTGATATGAATTTTTGTCATTGAAAATTCTCACTATATTACCCAATTGAATTTCGTTTTGCAGAAGTATCAGTACATGTGCATTCGGTTTTAAGATCCAGCAAATACGCGAAACGGACATCCTGTTGGTTCTGTTCTGCGTATACGGTACACGTCTGATCCGGTAAAAATTGACTCCATGTGAACGAGCTGTTTCCACAGGCGGGCGGGCAGCACGAGCGTTTGTAGACCTTCATTTTAGGTTGAGCACACTATGAAACGCTAGGGACGAATATAGTCGAATTCTTAAATAGAATATAAGGTTTTAGGCTATATTCAAATTCGTAAAGGCCCTAATAAGGTTAGATTTACTGGGATTATTTTTGTATGAGTATACAAAGTTACAAAGACCGCAGTTTTCTTGGATATTTGAAGAATTTGGGTATTGTTTGACTGTACTAGATAAGTAGCTGCCAAGTCGCTGGAATATTTATTAAGCCAAATGCCATTTTCTTAAATTGAAAGAGTCCACGCCCAAGAATGGTGAAGGCGGTATATTCACGACTGGATCCCTTGCTGACTATTTGATAGAATGCAGATTTTAGGTCTAACGAACTTGATAATTTAGCTCCTTTTAACTGGTCGAGAATTGCTGACGCATAAGCCAAAGGATAGGCGTCTTTCTTGGTGACTATTTAATTTTCGATAATCCCGAGGATAATCCACAACAACTCCCTTTCCAATAAGCTTAAATTTTTCCGAAACTAATGAGTTAGTCTAGCAAGTTAATCCTCTGTGAGGTCAGTAGGGGTATTTACAAACTATCTTGCAAACACCACGATTTAAATTTGAAATTACGCCCTTGGTTTTACAAAAGTTTAGTCCAAGGACTAACGAATGATATCCAAAATTGGATCAGCCTATTGAACTGGTACTGTCATACTACAGATCACATCACAACTAAATGCCGTTGGTCAAGGTACAAAATGTACTGTCCGTTTTTGTTAGAGGAATTTGCATATATTGTAAAATATACCAATACTCATTAGTGAATGTGTTGCACCGGAATCGAGTACTCCAAGAAATTTCTGACCAAATATATATAGATGTACATGGTCGTTGGCCATTTCCAACATGAGCCAAAATGTACCTAACCCAATACAATTTTCTTTCTATTAGATTTGAGATCGATGGTTGATTTTGAAATGGATGAAGAATGTGGATTGCATTTAATACAGTTTTACTAGTAACATTTGGACAGCCACA